CCCTGTTTAATAGGAAAAAGTAGGTACCTAAAGAATATCTAGACAATAATTCTATTTCTAGTAACAAGGTACCTTGACAGGCAGCAATAATTGTGGTGCTCATAACGAACTAGTTATACTTGGCATACAATAAGCAGGAAATAAGTTATAGACAACATTAACTATCACACCTCTGTGTAAGACACGTTTTCAAAATGGTGTCATTTTTTTTTTATTTACCTTTCTTGCTTTTCTTGTTTCTTGTTTTTCTTTCATTACTAGCTGTGCCCGCGATTTCGTCCGTGAGTGATCCACAGATCCTCTCCCGTAGATGATAACGTGATTATCTTTTTTTTTTTGAGCGGGGAAAATCATCCTATGATTTCTCCTGCCCGGGTGAGACGAGAGGGAGTGTCAGACTCTTACTGACTAAAAACCACCCCGTTCATACTCCTGCACTTCGAGCCGGAGCCCCGGCAACCTGTTAAGTCTTCCGCGACTCCGTATCGGCATCAGCCCTGTAGGGCCCCATCTGTGGTGGTTTGATGGCTTCTTGAGCCATACGCTTGGGCCTGGTTCTGGTCGGGCGGCGAGTCACCCGTGCTCGCCCGTGCTTACGGTGGCCGGAGATCGTATTGTGATCCCCGACGCTCGGAGTGTCTTTCACGGCGGCCGGGGCGTGAGGTGGTCCGTTCTGCTTCGCAGACGGAGGAGACGGCATCCCAGTCCCCCTAGCTTCGTACCATGGTCTGAACCAGAGGCTATATGTTGACTCAACCTTTTACTAATATTCATGCAAAAATCCAAGCAGTACTTTTTGACTTTAGTCCGGACATACATACAGACAATTTTATGTGCGACGCTGATTGCTTACCATCAGGTGATCCGTCTACTCGTTTACCGGCTTATGCCATAAATAATATTGCAAAAAGAGCTATAAGATCATTAATATAAAATAACATAATGTTTTATTAATAAACTTCGTATTTATAGTCCCCATGTTATGTGTAGATTCAAGTTATACCTCATTGTAGTTAAGCAATAGTATATTGCTGCACTTTGTACCTTCTCGACGTACGTCACCTTATATTGCACCATAAACATAATATAACTATATACAATATACATATTCAGTATATAATTGTTATTGTTCTGCAATAAATTATACAATCGATTTCCTACTACTATTCTGTTATTCTCTGGAGATATATTTGTTTGTCTATAAATAAATAATTATCTCTAGGATGACAATTAGTAATAATTCGAAACCTACCAACAGCAAGCACCAACGTGACTTTTTCCGAGTTATATGTACTTTCTAAGATTATTCAGACATCACTGACTAACGCTCAAACGGTGAAGGAAAACATTGTAAGGAAACCTAACTTACAATTTCTAATTATAAGTTTAAAATCGCCAACCCGCAATGCGCAAACCTTTCCCGTATGAGAAGAGGCTTTGCTCAGCAGAGGGCACTTATAGGCTGTTGATAGATAATAACTATTTTTATTTGTTTTGATATTAAATTATGACTATGAATTGTGACTTGTAAGTGGTCTAATAAGGACCATGGTATTCTCCTTCTTAGCTTGTGGAAGATCTGATCTCTGACCCCTTGCAATCAGATACATAATGGCTACATACAAACTCTGCATATACAGACAAAAGATATTCTATAAAATTCGCTTCAGTCGTACAGTAATTAAAAATGTTATCTGATTTTAATTTCACGGCAATTTGTCGAGGAAATTGCTCGAACTGTAATTGCAAAATTATAATATTTTAGAGTATAATTACCATGTCAACTACGTATAAGTTATCGTTGAGAAAAGTGTGAGAAGCCAGACTCTGGTAACTGTAGGTCCAGGACGTAGTATCACTAGAAACGATTTAATTTAGATACAGATTAATGAAATCACGTTTTTATCATTTTTTAATACTACTATGGCTCAATTCTATTCAATAAGCACCATTCCACCTGATGGAAAGCGATGACGATGAAGCACCAATGCCCAATTTTATCCAACTTTCAGTGATTTACCTTCAGCTCTACTTCAATCGACACAATTTTCAATCTATTTACAGTTTCATCGAACGAACTGAATTCTAATTTTACCAGATTACGTGAATTCCTATTTCAGCTGCATGAAATTGCCTTCAGTGGAATGCAGTATACTGAATAATTGATTTACGTATAGGCACTTTTGAAACGTCAAAATGGAACTGTCAGTTTGTTCGTCAGTCTAGGTGCTCGTTGCAAAATGCATTTAGATTCGTATATATAAGTGTATTGGATTATTGTCTGTTTTGATCTCTGATTGGATTTTAGTGTTACATTGTTCTCATACAACTGAATCAACAAAACTATGTAACTAAAGAATTATATTGTGAACCTGATTGAAGAAGAGTAAGGACTTCCTTGCTCGTTCTTCTCTTCTCTTCTTGGAGTAAGCTTCACTTACAATGTTTTTGTTGACATTCAAAAGTGGGTTTCTAGTGTATTTGAAATAAATGATTTTGACTTGACCTGATTTGAAGAATCAGTAAAATCGCCATGATTGTTTTACTGAAACTACGACAAAATTTATCAATAAGGATCTGTGAAAACCTTGAAATTTCAAACTTTATGATGCCTATTATGACATAAGTGTGTAATTCTGCAAGATAAACCTATTGATACGCATTTTATCAATTTATTCGACAATTCTAAGCTATGTATGTGCATTTCTGGTTGTTAGCATATCTTAAAGATTCGGTACCAGTGTTTAAAACAAACGCATCTAGATTTGATATTTGTATCTGACAAAATATTTTTAAGAAGCTTAACATTATATTGTCAATATCATTTTCGTAATTAGGGGTTCTCTCCTGGCATGGTGATACAACGGCCTCACAGAAAACTAGTATGTAAGAACGCTTGCGTTGCGTCACAGTGTGAGTGAGGTTACCGGAGGAAAATGCTGGCAAAGCACTCAGAATACCTCTTCTGATGTTGTGACTGTCCATGGGTAACACTTATCACTTACCATCAGATGACCTGACTGCACTTTCGTCCCTCAATCCTATAAAAAGGCTGTTTACTACTGAAAGGGAAGGCCAAGAGAACTCACATAATAACTATACCTATATATAATACTCTTTTCAACAATTCTATTACGATTCATATTTCACTACGGGTCACACATGTACCCAACATACTTAGACGAAGTTAAACAAAAATATCGGTCGTTCATTTTCATGTATGAGGAAACAAAAACACCGAAACAGAAGCAGCTCTTCAGAACGAAGGTAAAAGATAAACAAAACATGTTCCTTTATGTTATCACCATCGCGTCAATGAACAACTTGGTGATAACTTGATAAGCTATCAATCAATAAATACACTTAAAGAAATAAAACTCTTCCGTTATGACCGACCTAGTGGTTGATATAGCTGCACCTGTAACCTAAAAATATTTCTTGGGAAACTGTTAAAGAACATCTTGAAGAAGACTTAAGTGTGGGAGAGCCATGCTTCGGCACGAATGGGCCGGCTCGACCGGAGTGATACCACGGCCTCACAGAAAACCGATGTGAAGCAACGCTTGCGTTGTGTTTCGTCGTGTGAGTGAGGTTACCGGAGGCCCAATTACCCTTCCCTTCCCCAAACTCCCCAATCCCTGAATCCCCAACGATCCTCAAACTCCTAATCCCCAAAAAGCCGGTAACGCACTTGTAACGCCTCTGGTGTTCCTGGTGTCCATGGGCGACGCCGATTCCTTACCATCAGGTGATCCGTCTACTCGTTTAAACGGCATATGCCATAAAAAAGACTTCTAAATTTCTACTAGAATAAATTAGAAAAATAAGATTACTTGTACAACCAGAACGAGAATTTGGTCAAAGAAAATTATACTCGATTCTATACAGAGATATTAAACATTGGTAGGTCCAGTAGCCGACCATCTATATCGTCATAATCGTCATCTATACACATCAGTAACACTTTGTATATCTCTGTGCTATTGCAAAAGATTTGGTTGTCATTAAAAAGCATACAATCGACTGTAACAATAGTTAATTATCTACCTCTGTTTAACTAAACCGATCTTCATTTTTTTCTCTGCATATCAAATAATTTTATTGATAGCGCGTCCAGATTGTCCCTTGTGAATTTCTCACTAAATTACTGAATCAATCTCTCTATTCTTACCTGCATGGTGAATTATTTTATTGGCTGAACATCCAGGTATGTCATCGTCTATACAAAACAATAATCCGAAATTGAACACATGGTCAAAGTATAATTTTTAATAATTATCTTATCGAATCTTATCAGTATGATGTAAACAAGATTTCTTCATATTTTAATGTTCTCTTGGACTATTGCACATACATCAATGTTTATCACATATGTATGTACTACAGGATGTCCCCTGCTCTTTCAAAAGGGTTATCAGACTGTCACTGCCAATCACCTGGTTAGATTAAGATTGAAGATAGCCGATATCTGGTTTTTACTGGTTTACATTTATCGATGTTCTTGGAAATCCTGTATATTATACAGTTACATAAATACTATCTATGTTTTAGTGTGTATGCCTTGTTGGAGACCTTAATTCAATAAATAAATAAATATTACTATTACTTAACTTACTGTTTTTACCATCCACCCCTCCAACTCAACTATCATACTAATGTCGGAATACTCAAACGCTACTCAATTTTAAGTCGCGCATAAGTATAGTTCTGTCTCTACAAATTCTTTGTAAAATGACAGAGATGGCATGATATTTAAGCACGACTTAAAATTGAGTAATGTTTCAGTATTCCGGCATAAGACTATTTGAATCTAAAAAAATAACAACAATTTGCCTAATCTAGGAATTTAATTCAAGGAGTACTCAGCAGTTGCACATGTACTACAATTACTTACTCACATAAAATTGAGTTCAAGAATATCGTTGACCCAGGTAACTTGTCCCCTTCAATTAATAAAATTTTTGATGTTGATATTAAAACCCCTTGTTCTAATGTTCCAGTGTTTCGTGACCATAGGAGTATGTCTGAACATGGCCGCCCACGGACTGGTCATGGGGTTCAACGCCATCCTGCTGCCACAGCTCAGGAAGCCAGACTCCATCATACCTATAGATGACTCCTCAGGATCTTGGATAGGTTAGTATAACTCTGACATTTATAAATATTTGGGTCACCTAAATTGGAAAATTATCAACGTTAATTTTCAAAATGGTATTGGTAAGATGGACGGAATTTTAAAATTTCAGGTTTTAATCTCAATAGGAAATGGGCAAATATTACCCAATACTGGGCACAATCCAAAATCTGTGTCTATGCTGTGAATTTCGAAACTGAATTTATAAATCCAATACAATTTTAGAAAAGTATGGGAAATTGGAGTTTCCAATAAAACAAACACTATCTTTTCCTTCATGTTGATTGGAAAGTAAAGGTCAAGTTTATACTTTAACTAGCTGTTGCCCGCGACTTCGTCCGCGTAGATTAATGACTTATGACAGAATTAACCAGAATCAATTCAGTGCCCAAGTAAGATTTACCTATTTTGAAAACGATTTATCGTAGTTTCAATAAATAAATAATCCCGCAGGGATCTTACCAGTGCAGTGCCCGATCACGTAAGGTTTGAGTAATAAAAACTATTCTATCGACTAAATTATTGTACCGAATCTTTCTAGAATAAGTTCAGTGGTTAAGAGTTAGAGAGTCCTGGGCTATTGACGCATATTTCCCGTTCTCGTGAGACATCTGTGAAAAAACTATCATACGTTACCCAGGTCCCAAATCATCGTTTTACCGAATTTAATTCAAAAATAATCAATGATTCTAAATTCAATGGCTAAGAAAACTCTCATTCCCTATTTTATCCCCTTAGAAAGGAGATACCTATGTCATAGCAACTTTATGCATGCAAAGTCTCAGTCCGATCAATTTAAAACTGGCAAAGTACCATACAAACTTTCACCCCCTATTTTACCCACTTTGGGGTGAGAATGTTCAAAAACCTTTCTAAAGGGACGTTTACGTCATAATATCCATCTGCACGCCGAATTTCAACCCGATCGGTGTAAAACTGACAAAGCTTCATACAAACGTTCATCCCCTATATTACCCCATTGGAGGTGGAAATAATCAAAATCCTTACTTGGGGATGCCTACGTCATAACATCTACCTGCATGCCGAATTTCATCTGCATCGGTGTAAAACTGACAAAGCTTTATATAAACTTTCACCCCCTATTTTACCCCCTTAGGGGTGGAAATGATCAAAATCCTTTCTTCGCGGATGATTATGTGATAACATCTATCTGCATGTCAAATTTCAATTCGATCGATTTAAAACTGACAAAGTCTCATACAAACTTTCATCCCCTATTTTACCCCCTTGGGGGTGGAAATTATCAAAATCCTTTCACAGCGGATGCCTACGTCATAACATCTATCTGCATGCCAAATTTCCACCCGATCGATTTAAAACTGACAGTCTCATACAAACTTTCATCCCCTATTTTACCCCCTTGGGGGTGGAAATTATCAAAATCCTTTCAAAGCGGATGCTTAAGTCATAACATCTATCTGCATGCCAAATTTCAACCCGATCGGTTTAAAACTGACAAAGTCTCATACAAACTTTCATCCCCTATTTTACCCCCTTGGGGGTGGAAATTATCAAAATCCTTTCACAGCTGATGCTTACGTCATAACATCTATCTGCATGCCAAATTACAACCTGATCGGTTTAAAACTGACAAAGTCTCATACAAACTTTCATCCCCTATTTTACCCCCTTGGGGGTGGAAATTATCAAAATCCTTTCACAGTGAATGCTTACGTCATAACATCTATCTGCATGCCAAATTTCAACCCGATCAGTTAAAAACTGACAAAGTTTCATACAAACTTTCATCCCCTTTTTTACCCCCTTGGGGGTGGAAATTATCAAAATCCTTTCTTAGCGGACGCCTACGTCATAACATCTATCTGTATTCCAAATTTTAGCCCAATCTGTCCAGCGGTTTGGGCTGTGCGTTGATAGATCACTATGTCAGTCAGTCAGTCAGTCAATCACCTTTGAATTTTATTTATATAGATTTATTTATATAGATTACTTCATTGTTTTACTAACAAATAATTATATTTTATAATCTAACTACAATGTTCATTATTATCAACACCTATTAATATTATTATTATTTGTAATTTCCAGCATCAATCATCGGCTTCGCCCTGGTAGCTGGTAACTTCATCGTGCCACCAATCATGGCCAACTATGGCCGCCGCACCGCCAACCTCTTCAGCGTGGCACCTCTCATCATTGGCTGGTTCTCCATCATCATGGCCAAGAGCATTCCTGTTCTTCTAGTCGCCAGATTCCTTCAAGGCACCTCCATGGGCATGAGCGCTTCTCTAGGCCCTGTCCTGATCGGAGAGTACACTAGTCCACACAACAGAGGAGCTTTTCTGACGATGATCTCCCTCTGCATAGCAACGGGAGTGCTGACTGTACATACCATGGGTTCCTACCTACACTGGCAGACAACTGCCCTAGTGTGCGCATGTATCGCGTTTGTTGATCTCATAATTATCCTTTACTCCCCCGAATCACCAAGCTGGCTCGCAGACCAAGGAAGATACGATGAATGCAAGAAAGTCTTCCGCTGGCTAAGAAATGAAGATGAAGAAGAAGAATTACAGAAGATGATCGAAGCCAGTATTGTAGTTAGAGAGTCGAAAGCAGATGCCAACATATCGCAGTCTTTGGGCAAGAAAATCAAAAGTGGTGTGGTCTACTTCAACGCGACGATCAAGAAGAAAGAATTCTACAAACCCATATTTATTATGATGCATATTTATACTTTAGGTCAATGGGCGGGTGCTAATATACTAGCTGCGTATACTATAGATATTTTCAACCACGTTATAGGCACTGATGTGAACATTGCTCTCTTAGTCATCACTCTGGATGCTCAGAGAATATTCTCGAATGCCATAGCAGTATTAGTTATAAAGAAGATTAATAGGCGGACGATGTTGTTTGGTACTGTCATTATTAACTTGATTGCTTTCTTGTTGACTGCAGCATACACTTATTTTAAAGGCCAGGGGATGTTACCTGAATACCTTGATAATCCTATGGTTGGTGTAGCGTTGGTCCACCTTCACATGTTCACTATCGCTACAGGAACAGTTCCATTGCCTTTCATTATAGCTGGTGAGGTGTTCCCTCTGGAGTATAGAAGCTTGGCAGGTGGTATCAGTGTATTGTTCCTTTCCACAAATCTCTTCATTACTGTCAAGACAGTTCCTTTCTTCTTCGGTACGTTAGGCATCCATGGAGCTTACTGCATCTACGCAGCAGTTGTAGGATACTGTCTTGTGATAGCATACTTCTTCCTACCTGAAACCAAAGACAGGACTCTGCAGGATATTGAAGACGAGTTCAGAGGTAGACCTTTGTCTCCTGAGGAGTTGAAATCCACTCAATCTTTGACATCGTGGCAGTTACATAAGCAGGACAGGAGGTGTAGTAGTCCTGTGGTTTGATATATATATTTAAGTGATACCATATGTGATACATAGAAATTCATCAATGGAGGATATTGACCACAGTATTGTTAGCATATAATTGTTGTTCAGTTGCTGATTTAAGAACAAATAATTAATGTAAAATATGACACGGTTTTGTATATAGCGTTCGATGACGTAGTTGTAAACTAATTTATTGAGAAAAGATATTATAGTTAAGTATACACCATAATAAAAATTTTGTTGTAATATTTTTTGGCTTTTTTGTTTTTTCTTTATTATAATATAATAATGACTTAATTCAGACTTAAGAGATGATCATTCAGACTTAAGAGGTTAAATTAACAGTGTAAATTGTAAGTAGGTAGTTTTTTTTGTAAATATAAACACTACGTTTTGTAAAATTACCTAAGTCCAAATCACAAAACCAAATGCAATAGTAACTAGAACCTATAATTAAACAGAATTAATTAATGTCAATTTTTAGTTAGATACTAAAAATTGACATTTATATTCAGTTGAAGTAACATCTGGCACATCTTTTTTGAACATTAAAAAAATTCGAAAAAAATAAAAACGACAATGTGTTCATAAAACAGGTTGTTTAACGTACATAGCTAGCTGTATCCGGGCTGTAAAAGTAATAGCTTACTGATAACCTGGTTACAGTTTCAGACATTACTCATTGTTGCAGTTCAAGTTATATGTAAAAGTAAATTATTATATTAATGAAGGTCAAAGGCCGATCTAGAAGTCTATTATTAAACTTTTGTAAGACATAGAAAATTAATTATTATGTTATCGGCTTACGCACGTAACTGTTAACGAGGAACTGAACTAGTTTCAAGCCATGGTTTGCTAGGGGCATGAGCAGCAGAGGCATGAGATTCATGAGCAGCATTCCGCGACAGTCGCCGTGGCGGATGTCGTTTGGAGAGGCCTATGTTAAACAGTAGACGATGTATTGACTCATGGCGTGTCTGATATAATAATGATATTAATAATCTGTGTCGCTTGGGATAGCTAGGGGAAAAAGTTGAATCAAAAATGTTTAATAATTTACGACGCCTACAAAATTAAAGATCGCAAACGTTGCTCATAATAGTTATGCTATGTTGTGGAGAATAAAACCAATGTAATGCAATTATGTAATGGTTCCACAATATCAGAGATAGACGAAGAAATACCTCTGTTTGTCATTCACTTTATTGTTCTGTTAAGTACAACAACGATTTGGTTAATTGGCCTAGTTACTACATATCAGACACAATTTTCAAATTACATATTGGGAATTTCAGAATCACCTCATAATACCTATTACACCTACTGTTGCACATCTCTGCATCACCCAATGGTTGACTCATTAAGTCCGCCATCGTATGTTATATATATATACAGAAGTGTAAATTAAAAAACACTTCGATGTAAGCCTGATACTTGATACTCAGCTATGCCATGCCACCTAACATATTATTAATAGTTGCCACATCTATAAATCACACCACAGATCATATAACAACAAAGGCATTATACAACAACATGAAATAACAAGAAACAATACGTTTATTCAAATTAACCTACATTCAATACATTACTGCAACTTATGACGTCACAAGACGGATGTAATTAAAATAAAATCGACTTTATGACATCCATTTATAAGGCGAAGAGACCCCTTGGTACCGGTACAGTGACTACAGGGTTCAGTTTCCAGTAACTTGTGTTTGAAGTAAGTAAAGTGCAGTTTTTAAATAAATTGGTGATTTTTATTGGAGTGTCTCTGAAACTGCCTCAATGGCCGAGTGACAAAGTGTAATACTTTGCCAAAACCGGGTTTTTAAAAAAAATCTCAGTGGTAGCACGGAGTCTGGCAATATGCCCGGTATATGGCAATAGGCTCACCCCCTATTACATAAATAGTGAAAAGTGGGCGTCACTTCTGTGTGCACCTCTGCTTACCCCTTCGGAGATAAAAGGCGTGATGTCATGTATGTCTCTGAAACGACTGGGCAGATTTGGAGCAATATCTTATGTGATGTTAGAATGTGTTACAAAAAAGCAATCTGTGTACTCTTTCGCAGGCTTATAAATTACTAAGTACCAGCTACTTCTGAAACTATTAGTCGAATACTTGTAGTATTCATCAGACTTTTTTAATTAATTTAATAAAATCAAGATTATTTCTCAATTTTTGGCTGCTGCTTAAGTACACATAAAATTACCATGTTTTAACTCTTCCTACTCGATCATCAGAAATCACAGTGAATATAAATTGCATTTTGAACAGAAACACAACTAACATTTCCTAAAATATGTTTTTCTAGTCCCTCATAATCACAATGAACTCAGTCGCACGCAATGCCACGAGGATGTTCGCTCTCCTGGTGCTGATGATGTGCTGGTTCAGCGCCATGGCCTTCAGGAACAGCAGCCGTATTCCCAGCAGGAGACCTAAGTTTGTCGAGACCGTTGACTTCGATTAAAGACAAATTCAGTGATAATTTAAAATCTATCTACTTTTTAGTTTTACCTATATTCCAAAAGTTTATAAAATGCTGTCCTTAATTTTGGTAAATTCATTTGCAAAGATTTTCAGTATAGTGCCATTTTAAACATTGTTTAAAGATTAATATTTTGAAATGATTATATCCCCATGATTCTAAAAGACGGGTCACAGGTTTAATGATTAATATTTTGAAATGATTATATCCCCATGATTCTAAAAGACGGATCACATGCATATTTTTAATTAAAGGCGTCTAAAAAAATTAAGTAAATAATAAAGAAAGAAAAAGATCGAGGATTTTTATTTTATTCCTGTTTTCATTATTTATCACCAACCATACTAAAATTATTTCATCACTTAATACATCATCCAGTAACAATAACAAATATCTACATGTTCTACATATACAACTAAGTACCACTACAAATTCTATTTACAATAATACTCTTCAAAAGAACCTTCCAATTCTTCAACCACAAGAGGAACAGGTCCTCAAGAACTCTGAATAACTTTTGCAAAAGCATAGAACTAAACCAATATTAACATGTGACTTAAATCATATAAGACTGCTACATCTTCTAGCAGACATCTTCCTCTTGTACGCAACAATTGGATCAGCTTGCAAAGACTTCCTCACTTCAATCTCCTCAGGACCCAACGGCCTGCCTCTGAACTCATCTTCTATCTGCTGTAGAGTTCTATCCTTAGTTTCTGGTAGAAGGAACCAGATGACTACCATGCAGTAAGTGATAATACAACCGTACACCACATAGGTTCCATACATGCCCACAGACTCCACTAGACCTGTGAAAGTCTTAAGAACTAAGAAGAATGTAGCCGAGAAGGATGCCAGACTGATGGTTCCTCCTATGCTACGGTACTCCAGAGGGAATACTTCTCCTCCAATAACATTTGGCAAGGGTAACATGCCTGTAGCTACAGCGAAGAATTTCAAGTTGATCAGTAATATTGGTATCCATACAGCGTCGTATGGCAAAGTACCTTGCTGCTTAAAGTACACGTAGGCAGCTAAAGCGAACTGAGCGAAGATCGAAAGCCCACCAGTGGCGAACATCATCGTTCTTCTCTTGAACTTGTTAATAGCAAACACTGCTAGAGTATTCGAGACGAATCGTTGAGCTCCTAAGAATATCATCCAGAAATGAGCATTCACTTGTGGTCCCATAACAACCCCTATAATCATAGTTGAATAAGCAGACATAGTGGTTCCACCAGCGAAGTTCACCAACACATGAGCATGCATCATTAGGATGATAGGTTTGTAAAATTCTTTCTTCTTTATCGTGGTAATAATTTTTCGTAAGCGATTGTTCTTTTTATTGAAACTTGCGGAGATCATTGCTTTCTCGTAGAGAAGTCGGCCTTCAATCATTTCTTCGAGTTCATCTTCTTCGTCATCACCTCGGAGCCAGCGGAATACCCGTCTACATTCATCATGACGACCTTTTGTCACAAGCCAACTAGGAGATTCTGGAGAGTAAATTGTCATGATGATGCTAATGAATGGGAAGAAGGAACATATCAACGCGGCCTGCTGCCAACTCAGGAGGGATCCAACAAGATGTACGAAGAATATTCCAAAGGATTGTGACAATGAGACGGTGGTGAGGAAAGCTCCTCTGTTCTTCGGGCTGGAGTACTCTCCAATGAGGACTGACCGTAGAGGTGATAACATGCCAATAGATAGACCTTGAAGTATCCGACCAGCGAAGAGAACCTGTGAAAAAAATATTGAAACTATATTTATCGGATAATAATCCTTCACACGCCATTGATAATTGTGTGATCACAGTGATACATACGCTAAATGATAGATTTCGTGACCATCAATTATATTATTTTGATTTGATTGCGTTGGGAAAACCTACCTACCTGTACATACTTTGCCTACATATTTATTATAGTTTTCTTTTGGACTTTAGACACAGATTTTAACGCATAGGTACTCGTGTCAATATACCAAACCTAATTTACATTAATAGACATTACAATAAGGTTGGAAATCTATTACATATTTTTACAGTTTGAGATACTTTGATGTACAGGACTTTGCACATTTTAATAATGACAATAAGAATACAAGTATTTATGTTTTATTTACCTCAAAATTAGTAGCCATAGTGATGACAAACCAGCCGATTAAGTTTGGTACAGTCGCTGTGAAGTGAGCTGCTCTTCTGCCGAACTTCTCCATTATAGGAGGGGAGATGAAGCTACCGACCAGCTGTGTGATGCCCAGGATTGATGCTGTAAACGAAATTGAGTGCTTTCAGTTTCGCAACACAAAATTAACCATATTCTGATAATTTTTTTATCAAATAATCTTTGGGCGGTGCAGACCTTCATAAGCTATGGTATAATTTCTATCAGGTGCATAATTTGTTATCATCATCATCAATAGATTGTTCTCGTCCACTGCTGGACATAGGTCTCTCCAACTTGTAAATATTTGAAAAAATATAATAACTTAACGACTTTTACAACACAATAAACTAATTTGACCTGGCAGTTGGTGCGGTGGCTGGGCAACCGGCAAGGAACAACTCTTTGTGTGATCAACAAATTGTTGTTTAGAATCTGGGTGTGATGTGTATGTAAACTTGTTTGTAAATGCACCCACAAGATAAAAGAAAATCCTAGTGTTAGTGCCCTAGGGGCAACGTTAAGGTTAATAGAAGTACTTACCAATCCATGACGCAGAGGCTGCATCCAGTTTAAAGGCGGAGTCAACCAGGTGGAGCTGAGGCAGCAGGATCCCAGGGTAGCCGATGACGGCGCCATGGCCAATGATGTTGCTACCCACTGATGCTGTCACGAAACACTGGAATTTTGGGTCAACTTAATGGTTATTGCTTGCAAGATGTTTTTTTTTTTATGTATATAAAATAACAACTTATTTAAAAAACGACTAATTATGGAGAGACTGCCTCGTTGGCTGAGTGGTCGCAAGTGCGACTGCTGGGCAAGGGGTTTCTTGTTCGATTCCCAGGTTAGGCAAAGTATTACTGGGTTTTCTTTTTTTTAATGTCAGTAGTAGCATGGAGTGTGGAATTGTGCCCGGTATATGGCAATAGACTCACCCCCTATTTCATGAGAAACATAACATAAATAATGAGAAAAGTGTGTGTTACGTTGTACAATTGCATTAAGTGCCGTTGTGTGCACCTCTGCCTACCCCTTTGAGGATAAAAGGCGTGATGTTATGTTATATATGTTCAAAATAATATATTAGTCACTATCACAGTAATGCAAATTTTGTCTGAAAAGGCAGGCTAAGATTTTTAAAAGTTTATTTTGACCTATAAGTATATGGCAAAAACATGAAATATAATAATTAAATGAATAGTTATTATTTTTTTTATATTTTTAACATTCTTTTTAATAAATGATATTGATTATATAATTTTTATTATATAAACTTACTTGTTTCCAAAACGGAGAAAATCTGCTTTTTCCTTTTGTAGACATTTTTAAGTTTCAAAAACTTTTTCTGCATTTAAGTCCAAATTAACTATTTATAAAACAACCATCACTTGTATCAGTCTTCGTATGCTACTGTTCAGTAGAAAATACAGAATACTGTAAGTTTACAATTGTAAATAAAATAATAAAATAAGATAAGTAGACGGGGCTGTTTAATCTAGCGACTCACTGAAGAACTGAAAAACTTATCAAGCTGTAATTCACTAGGAAATCTTATCCATTGCGTTTTCAGTGAATTTTATTAGAGTTTAACTGTATAAGTTATTAATTATATTTTCCTTGTAAATGTAATAAAATAGTAAGTAGTTTAAATCGACCTTTTACTCAATGTCGAGATTTACCTGCGATAATTTTCTATCGTAGTAATAAGCGTTCTATGGTCTCTGCTTACCCCCATGGGAAACAGGTGTGAGATTGTATATGTATGTTAAATTTAAATGACCTATGTATATCTTAATTGTTTGAAGCATACGTTACAATTGTTATAAAATATATTTGGTTCCGATAATCTAAGTCGTTCCGGGTCTGGGTGTCATATGTATGTGAACTTGTATGTTTGTAAACGCACCCACGACACAGGGAAAATCCCAGAGTGGGGCAACGTTTTAAAAAAAAAGAAAATCTAGAATCTAGAACATAAACTTTCAACATTAATTACGTAGTTTTTAATATATTAAAATAGTTTTTTTTTTTAAGGGGGGAAAATCATCGAATTTCTGCTCCCGCCTGGATGAGGCGGGAGGGAGTGTCAGACACAAAAAACCACCCCGTTACTACTCCTGCACTTCGAGCCGCAGCCCCGGTAACCCGTTAGGTTCTCCGCGGCTCCGTATCGGCATCAGCCCTGTTGGGCCCCATCTGTGGTGGTCTGATGGCTCTGAAGCGCTCGCGGGACGCAACGCGCCGTACGTTCGGGTATTAAAATAGTCTTAGGTTATTATTTTAATCTACTTAGTTTGTTTAAATTCTTCGTTGACCGCCGAGCAAAGGTATGTTGAGAAAGCCAATCTACTTTATCAGTTAGATAATAATACATTTTGTAGGGTCAAAGTCAAAAACTTTGACTATCAGTCTGTTCGTCGAGGTATGTACTCGTTGAAAAAATGGTTTTATGACTGTCTTTTGGGGGGGTCAGGGTTAATCTTCAAAGACTTCTTCCGCCCAGGTGAGGCGGGAGTGAGCGTCAGACTCTTACTGACTGAAAACCACCCCGTTACTAGTCCTGTACTTCGAGCTGGAGCCCCGGCAACCCGTTCAGCCCTCCGGAAGAAAATATCACAGTTATTTGTATAGTTAAAAGAATTTGTAACTCAAATAAAATACGATGATAATCGATATCACCATTCCCCATGACGAGGACCTCGTGAAAGCTGAGAAAGATAAACAAACAAAATATCTAGACTTAGCTCTCGAGGTTGTCGACATTTGGAATGTGGATTCGGCTATCATTGTGCCGATAGTCGTGTCGGCCAATGGATTAATCCCTAAAAGCCTCGACATCCATCTCAGGAGGCTGGCGTTAGGTGGATGGATCAAGGGCCTGATACAGAAGGCACTTCTAGAAACGGCGCGTATCGTGAGGAGGTTTCTGTCTCTGGAGCCGTAACCACCGGTAGCTTGGACCATGCTCCCGCTACTGGTCGGCTCCTACATTTTATATTTTTAAATATTGTTTTTTATTTTGTATGTAGTATTTAAAATAGTAATTTATAGAGAATTTTAAATAAATATATGCTAATCATAAAACAATGTTGTATCAGTAATCGTTTGTTTTTTTCTCGAGTCATTTAATGCAAACGTAATGAACAGTTGAATGAATTTAAAAAAATCTTGAATATAATGTGTAGGTATATCATGATATAGTAATTATTACATTATGTATAACTTACGATTGAGGGAGTCATGACTAACAACTAAAACTGTTTGTAATAAGAACAATAATTCTATTTACAAACTACGTTTCCAAACACCGACTTCGACCACCTTTTTTTTTCAAGTCAGTGAATTGATATACTGACTCTATATTTCTAAGTTAGTTTTCTGAAAACCGCATCAAAATCGGTTCAGTCAATCCAAACTAAGAACTTTCTTCTTTTTTAAAGTCGGTGTAATACAAAAACACTTAAATAACATATCATCCACAAGACATCCACTGTTGAACATTGCCTCCCCAAAGACATCCAAATCCGTCTGCAATATACATACTTACATACATTAATTTTACAACATCCAACTATCTTCAATAATCAAAACGGTATTTTTTGACATTGACATTTTTACAGTTAGGTATTGACCTAAACCCAATGTCAGCCTAACCCTTTTTGCGTCAGAAAGTGTATAAAATACTAAAACAAAGTAATTGACTGATTAAATAACGAACAAGTTTGTTTATCGCGGACACGAGACGGCCATAAACGTATATAATTTAGATATAATATCTAAAGGGGTGTATAAAAGGATTTATATGTAATATATACCGATATATACAATATATAATAGTAATAATAAATGTGGATGGTTACTATTTGGACAATATTATTGATAAATAAACGAGTTTTTACAAGTACTGATCATTTTGATGATACCAAAGTATTAGTCATTATCTTTTGAGGGATTTTACATTTTAACAATTGTTGTCAACTGGTTTTGGGCTGGGCAGAGAATTTGTTTAATCTACAGAAAGGAGTAAAAAAGATTGCTAAAATCTAAAGTCCCCTTTATGCGACAAATGAGCGTACGGCACGTCGCGTACCGCGCGCGCCTCAAAGAGCCATCAGACCACAACGGATGGGGACCAATAGGGCTGATGCCGATACCGAGCCGCGGAAGACTTGGGGTTGCCGGGACTCCGGCTCGAAGTGCAGAAATAGGAACGGGATGGTTTTTAGTCAGTAAGAGTCTGACACTTCCTCCCGTCTCACCCAGACGGAAGTTAAAAAAAAACGGGTGAAAAGTGTGTATTACTGATTTTTAAGTGTGGGCAAGCCATACTTCGGCGCGAATGGGCCGGTTCGACCGAAATGGTACCACAGCCTCACAGAAAACTGACGTGAAAAAACGCCTGCGTTGTATTTTGTCGTGTATGGAAGTCACCGGAGGCCAAATTCCCCCCCCCCCCCCCATCTCCCCAATCCCTAAACCCCTAACAACCTAATCCCCAAAAGACCGGTAACGCACTTATAACGCCTCTAGTGTTCCGAGTGTTCATGGGCGATGCCGATAGCTTACCATCAGATGACCCGTCTGCTCGTTTACTGGTTTATCCCATAAAAAAGATATGTATAAAGGTATAAACAGGCATCAGCTCAAAAAAAAAACAAATACGTGTCTAGTCAAGTCCATACTACAATGACATTTAAACGAAGAAACCACAAGCGTCAATGTTCAATATCGGCTCTTAAAAAAACAATACTATCTATGCCTATTCATTACACACACAAAAAAAACAAAGAATCACTTCACAACGAAATAAATAAACTAATTCTACATTCACAAATCACCACTTTGAGTTAACCACCACATAGATCACCAGATCTTACAAGTGTCTATCACATTCTGCGTATCCTTAGCTGATCCGTTCAATAGGTCGTGACTCGCAAGTTACGGGAGGTAAACAAATTGGCTAAACTTAGCCTTCAGGTTGCACTTGTGTTCATAAGTATCTGTCATATGATTTAGTCACGTTTTTACATGAAAAATGGTATTACATATATTGTATATGACTGTCGACTAGTCCAACTTGGTGACTGTTAGGTAGTTCCAAAATATGCAGAACATCTTTGATACAATACCCGTGTGTATACAATGTGTACAATACTACTGTACCCACCTTTCATTATTTCTTTTTTTTTATGGAATAGGAGGCAAACGAGCAGACGGATCACCTGATGGTAAGCGGACTCCCGCAACACCAGAGGAGTCACAGGTACATTGCCGGCCTTTTAAAAAGGAATTCGATTTTTCTTGAAGGTTTGAAGGTCGTATCTGTTCGGAAATACCGCCGACGATCATTCCACAGCTTTGCTGTGCGAGGCAGGAAGCTACGTGAAAAGCGCACAGTTGTGACCTGCCAACCATCTAAATGATGGGGATGCATATATTGTCGTGAAGGTCGATGGCGAAAAGGTGCGGCAGGTATCAGGTCAAACAATTCCTCAGAGCACTCCCCGTGGTATAAGCGATAGAAATGTTTATTAAATTTATGTTATGAGTCCCATGTATTAGTGGCCTATTGCCATACACCAGGCACAAAACTAGACTCTGTGCTACTACTGAGATGTTTTAAAAAAACCAGTAATACTTGGGTCGACCTGGGAATCGAGCCCGAGACCTCTTGCCCAGCAGTCACACTTGCGACCACTCGGCCAATGAGGCAGGGTTTGTCAGTATTTAGTTTATGTATGCTAGATACTGACCTGAACCCGGTGATAGTAGAAAGTAGATAGTAACAGAGACTTTTGTCAACAACCCTACGCAGAAGAACCGGCTATGGGTCATGGGACCACACATTTTTTATAGAAACCGGACAGGAGCACTCATTAGTTTTTTTATAGCATACGCCGGTAAACGATCAGATGGATCACCTGGGGGCCAATTCTCGATTTTCGCCATTTATCTCGAGTTCGACATTGTAAGTCTATCTCTATGTCTATCAAAAATATCTCTATCTCTACCAAAAAATGTCGAATTGCACAGAAATCCGTATTCTCAGTCAAAATAGAAACAAATGTCACGAAAATGTCGAGTCGAGTGAAGATAATGTTACCATTATGCAGAATCGCACGTTCCATTTTAGGTAGTTGTGAGTGAATGAATGATTTTGTCATAAAACGTTCACTAAACCTAATTATTTAAGTTAAAACGGAACGTTTAGTGCAAAAATATTCAGTTTGACAGGACAGTTCCAGTTGACTGTCTGTCAGTGTCACAATTTGGATCTGTAAGCGGTTGTTTCAAAACTTTTATAAGTTCATCATCACTCACTA